CCAGTATAGACAGTCCTCCTCCATGGGACCCCTGAGCCAGTATAGACAGTCCTCCTCCATGGGACCCCTGAGCCAGTATAGACAGTCCTCCTCCACGAACTCCTGAGCTGTTACCAACAAACTTCATCTAAAGAACTCACGAGCCGGTGTAGACAGTGTTGGTACAAGGACCTCCTGAGCTTGTGTAGACAGTCACCTGAAACTCCAGGGTCCACTGGCGACAGCACTAAATCTAGGAACTCCTAAACCCAGTACTGACAATGCAATCTAACATGGAGCCCTAGCATGGTGCTAAACACTGGACTGCTAACCACAGGCAGGAGCTTCAAACACCAGCCTCTCCTTGGGAAGCCTGTACAGGGTCCCTAAGTCAGAACTGACTCAGCATCACTTAACAACAACAATCCAACTTAGCCCAAGGAACTCCTGAGCCCAGGATTGACGGCCCCTGTCTTGGGTGGGGCAACAATAATAAATCATCCTTGAATAAAACACTGGGTTTCTTTTTCCTAGAGCTATGGGCACATTAATCCCCAAGTGTTTAGATAGATGTTGTTGTTATTGTTGCTAGGTGCTACTGAGTTTGTTCTGACTCACAGCGACCCTATATACCGCAGAACAAAACGCTACTGGTCCCACACCAACCTCACAATTGTTATTAAGTCTGAGACCACTGCTGCAGCTTAGATGTAGCTTGTTGTTGTTAAGTGCCGTCGAGTGGATTCCGACCCATAGCGACCCTGTATAGGGCTTCCAGATGTATATTGTTGTTGTGGTTATGTGCCGTGGAGTCGGTTCTGACTCATAGCGACCCTGTACAGGGTTTCCGAGGCTATAAATCTTTACGGGAGCAGAAAGCCTCATCTTTCTCCTGCGGGACAGCTGGTAGTTTCAAACTGCTGACCTTGTGGCTTGCAGCCCGATTCGTAACCACTATGCTACCAGAGCTCGGACTGAGGAAATGTTTTGATGCTGCTGGGACAGATTCTCACTGAGAAAGAGGGACACACAAATACTGAAGGGGGCAGGCTAGAAGCATCGCGGGGTGCAGACGAGGACTGTGGGTTTGTGACTTGTGGAGGGGAATGTAAACATGTATGGAGGTGGCGGTGGTTGTGCACTGTCGAGTCAGTCCAGACTCACAACGACCAGTACAGGGTTTCCACGGACATAAACCCTTACAGGAGTAGAAAGCCTCATCTTCTCCCACAGAGAGGTTGGTAGATCCGAACTTCCGACCCTGTGGTTAGCAGCCCAACTTGTAAGCCGCTATGCTATAGGTACAGACATGGAACTGTGTGCACGTACACGGTGTGCACACACAGAGAAGCGTGTCTGCATGCGTGGATGTGTGCATGCACCCACATGTCCTTCCCAACTCTTCCCCTTAGCCCTGGGGGCTTTGGCAATCCACTTGTTCTAGGTTGACCTGTGTGTCCCCAAATACGTGTTAAAGTGACTGTGGCTGGGTTTGGAAATTGAGGTTAATCCTTTGATTATGAGGCCACACCAGTATAGTGAGGATGGTACCCCTAATTCCTTCTGCGTTCTCAACAGGCCACAATGGACCGATACTCCAAGGGGAAGGCAGGCATCAAGGGACGTCCGGATTTGGAGTTTCTGCCTCCAAACCTTTAAAAGCCCCACATGGGGTATCTGTGTCCGATAGCCCTGGGAACCTAAGACGGCATTAAGAGTCTCAGCATCTAGTGCTGACACTGCTCAGCACAGGCCGGGTCCAGTTTTCCTGTAGGCTGCCAGGGCCCCTAAGAAACCCGCTCAGAGTGTGATCAGGATTTTGAGGGATAAGAAAACGTATTCATCTGATAAACACCGTCTAGTTTTGCAGAATAAGGAAACACGTCACTTAGAGGGCAGTACATCAAAACCCAGTCCTGTTGTGGTCTGCAGGATAAGCACTGGACTGCTAACCGTGAGGGTCGCAATTCAAATGCGTGTGTGTGTGTGTGTGTATACATACACATATATACATATAGATATACGTATGCATATAGGGAGCTCTGGTAGTGTAGTGGTTATGAATTGGGCTGCTATTCTCAAGGTCAGCAGTTCGAAACTACCAGCTGTTCCATGGGAGAAAGATGAGGGTTTCTGCTTCCGTAAGATTTACAGCCTCAGAAACCCTGTGCCAGGTTGCTATGAGTCAGAACCGACTTCACGGCACACAGCCAACCACATATGTATACACACGTATGGAGTCCTGGTGCGGCGCTGCAGGATAAGCACTGGACTGCTAACTACAAGGTCGGCAGTTCAAATCTACCAGTTGCTTCTCGGAAAGCAAAGCATGAGAGCCCTGAAAAGTCTCTCCATTTCCACCATGCAGCAATGCTACTGGGACATGAAGCGGGTGTCAGCAGTGAGCACGAGGAGCGGGAGGACGCGTTCGAGGCAAGCTGCTCCCACACATGGCATGTCCCTGAGACAGGGTGGCACCTTCACAGCGCCAGCTGCCGCTACAGCACCTCTTCTCAACAGACCATCGTTTTATGGGTACTAGGTATGGAAGGACAAGCTGCCTGCAGAGATGCTGACCAGGGGAGAACACTACCAGCTCCCAAGAGCCCCCCGGCCCGTGCCTCCCAGTCCCACCTGAGGGCTCCTCACCAGGGCCAGCTCATTCTGGAACACCCTAACTCAGCTTTGCCCACGTTTGCGCTCATCCTCTGCCTGGAATGTTTCCCTCAGAGTCCCGCTACAGACACCACCCTGGCGGCCAGACAGGGCTGTGGACCGTGTACACTAACACTGTTCAGTCCCTGCTGTCTGCACCTGCGGGGGGTGGGCTTATCTGGATGCGTTGTTGAGTGCCTTCAGGTCGGTTCTAACCCACAGCGGCCCTGTATAGGGTTTTCAAGGAGTGGCTGGTGGGCTTGAAGCGCCGACCTTGCGGGGCTATCCTCTGCAGACATCCCTTGTGGGCAAGTTTTAAAGAGATTTTGGGGCGGGGGGAATGAGGAGTGAACAGCCTTTACCCATTTAGAAGCAAGTTTGGGAGGGATGTGGATGAGGATGAAACGGAATGTTCTCATTAGAACCTGAAGCAGGGGGGTGGGTTTCCTTGGCTGCCCTGGGTGCTGGCACGGTGGGGGCTACAGCGGAGACAGGGACCCCAACGTGGAGAAGCACCTGTTCAAAGGCACTGTGCACAGCCGCTAGTCCTCACCTCTTCCTCCACCATCGCACGCTTCTGAGCGCTCCAGCTGTAGTCTGGGTAATGCGACATGGTTGTGGCGCTGCCAAAATCACACAGCTTGATGGTCCCCTGATCGCTAACCAGTAAGTTTTCAACCTGTAAAAATTCCAAAAGAACCAACTTAGGAATGCAGGGTGGGTATCAGGTCCGGAAGGCAGATGCATAAACAGAGCTTATTTCAGCAGGCTTGGCACCGAGAGCCATGATGCGGGGATGCCCAGCCTGCCGCTGAGGACCCATCGGGTCTGCACGGCTCCTCTGGGTAATGTGGTCACAGCCAGCTCTGCAGGCAGATGAGGAGAAGCATGGGGTCTCAGGGCCTGGCCCAGAGCATGGCTTTGACCCCTGGTGGGGTTAGGACTGAAAGCACAGGATGTGCACATAGAAGCTGACAAAGTAGTCTGCTTTCAGGACCCTGCCCCCCCTCCAAAAAAAACCCCAAAACCAACCAGTGTCTTTTATACTGATTCAAAAGAATATATGTTCGTTTAAAAAATGGGTGGTGATACAAAAATCAATTGGATTTCTCTATAGCAACAGCAATAG